CCAGACTGTGGGTGCCCCAGGCTCTGGGCTTCCTCAGTTGCACTGGCTGTACCATGTCGCCTCATTCCCTGGAAGTTGGAGGGAGGAAGAGCCCGTGGCTGCTGCTGCAGTGAGAGTAATAGTGGGGGAGGGGAGTGATAGCTGGGAGAGAGGCTGGGGAATGCAAATTAAACCCTTGAGGGCTATGAATTGGACAACCCTGATCTACACAACTGCTTGGCAGGACTAATTATCCCAGGGAGAACCCCACACTAACATGGCTGTACTGTTTCCAGTACCTGAGTTAGCTCTGATATTTTTGCCTGGCTTCATGGAACATAGAAATGTCTTAAGAAGAGAAGGTGCCCCTTAATTACTAACTCTTGTATTTTCTCTGCTTCATTGAGTTTGGCTTCCTGCTTCATGTTAAGGGTTGGATCAAGTTATGTGTGTATGGGTTCTAGGAGAAGTTCCAGCCCCTGCCAGTCTAGAAGCCTCCATATAGCAGAGGGGGAAAAGTCTGATCTGGAATCTTTTACATGCTTCTTACCAGAACTGAGAGTTATTTTTTTAGCTCCGTTGGTCTTTAAAAATAGGAGCGTAACCCTGTTTAAAGTTCTGTTTTATTGAATTAAAAACTACTTTGGTGGTGTTGGTTGTAGCAGTGCTGGTCTAAGGACATAGGCAGACAAGGTTATTTGGGTAAATGTAATATCTTTTATTAACCCAACTCAATAGTTAGAAAAATTGTTCTTTGCAAGCTTTCAGGCACAGGCGCCTTTTGTCAGGCATAGGAAGAGTCTGCTAGTTTTTTCTCTAGGGTCCAAATAGAAGCGTAAGGCAGTGTGCAAAATGCAGGTCTGTGAAAATGCAAATACATGGCAGGGAAGATCAGAGGGGATAGGAGGAGTTAATAGACATGAGGTAGGTTGGTGGGGGAGAAAACAACAGAAGAGGGAAATGTCTACAGATGATAAAATGCAGCTGGGAAAAAAGAAAGGTTACCTGGGGTTTTCAGATGGCAGGTAGGTTATATTGTTCCATAAATCCAATGTCTTTATTTAGTCCATGATTTTTTGTATCCATTAGATTTTTGAAGTATGATTTTGGATAGTAACTAGTAAGGAACATTCTCCTTTAATATATCTAGTCCCTGAAATCTGCAGAGAAGGTCCTAAAATGTCTGTATGAAGACATAGTATATTTTCTCACAGACACGTGTGCCCTTACCCCAAAGAATCAACCCCCAAAATCAGGTTGTGTGTATTATGTGGGGAAGCTGATTTTCTGCCCAGGATAGAAGCATTCTGGCTTGATATCTGCTGCACCATGCAGCAGCTCTGGCATTACTATTCAGATAGCTAAGAGAGTCAGTTAACTTAATGGCTCATTATTCTTCATAGTACAGGTGTTAACAAAAATTTCCTTTTAATAGTCTTGATGTTCCACTAATCAAGCCTTACCTTTCTTAGGGCAAATTTGCTGTCGTCTTACTGCTTCTGGTCTCTCTCCTCCTGCTTTACAGTCCTGGAAACTTTTTCTCTGTTCAGAATCATAGATCCACCCATAGAAACCAGTCTTTCAGCAGCAGCTAGGGTTTCAGTTTTATTTAAGCAGGAAAAAGAGAGTGAGCCAGTTGAAGAATAGCCTGTCTCTACTCTGTGCAGCCATAACTGCAAAAATCTTTTTTTCTACATTCTGCCTTTAAAAAACGAGATGTATAGTATAGTCCAGCGTATGCTGTATGTGAGAAAATAAAGCATATAGAAAATGTAACAGCATATTATTCAAAGCCCCACACCATGTCCTCTCAAAATAATCTATTTTGGGTGCCTCAGAGCAGAAGTTGAAAAATCTTTAACTGTTTTATAGTTACCCTTTAACGTTTGGCAGGACTAACAAGGGAAATATTTGTACAATACCCTTTTTTTTTTTTTTTTAGGCTGAGGGATAATAGCTGAGCTGGGTTTTCAGTAAAGAATATGAACCACAATATGAGAATGGGGATGTTAGGTGAAATTTAAGGAGTTACAGACTGACCTCATTATAAGGAACCCTGTTTATAACAAAACCCTTGTTTTTAATAATCCCAATAGCAGGAATGGTTGGGGGTTTTTCATTATGATGCAGACAATTAACTAGCGCTATTACAGTGAAAACCCTAGTTTAATGAATTTTCTTCCCAGTCCCATGGGGGTTTGCTATACAGTGCAATCTTATTATTTGTGTGTTTAGTTAGATACTTTCCAATCAGCCCCTGGCAACTGCAGCAAGAATTGAAAATGCATGTATGCACTTGGATTTGACACAACGTTAATTTGATCAATAAATATTTACAAGTATGCAAGCTAAATATTCTTGGCAAGCTTTTGGGCACAATCGCCCTTCTTCAGGCATGGGGAGTCTCTGCAGTTTATGCCTGAAGAAGAAACTCCCCGTGCCTGAAGAAGGGTGACTGCACCTGAAAGCTTGCCAAGAACCTTTTCCCAGCTACTCAGTTGGTCTAATAAAAGATATGACATCTACTCAAAGAACCTTGCCTGCCTGTGTCCTTCGACCGACACGGCTACAACCAAAAACCCAGCAAGCTAAATATGGTACTTTAAGAGCATTCATACATTATGATTCGAGGCATCAGCAAATGGGCTTGTAAACATTGGAAAGAAAGTTTTCTACTTTTTGGAGAGGACATAGATTAGCTCACTGCATCCTAGGAGGGTTATAACTTCCTCACAAGTTGTGGTTATTAATCATTACCAGTCACAATAGGATAATGCTGTGATGAGCAGAGTACACATATTTGGAAGAAAGAATAAAGTAAGATGCTGGATGACTCAGTAATACCCAGATATCCATAGTCACTTAAAAAAGCATCAATTAGCGTTCATATGGAATTACTTCTCAGTATTTGAAATAGGTATTAACAGTTTTTAAACATTTTATGTTTTCAGAGATCCAACGTATTTTGATGAGAACTGGTTAAACAGAATCAAAACTGAAGTAGGAGACAATTGGCGGTTAAAGGTATTTTAATATATTTCTTGCCTGCAAATCAGTTTGTTTAAATTATCTGTTTTATTGATGTTTTCAACTTAAGGTATTTGTAAACTAAAATGATTTTTTTCTTCGTGGTTGAGGATACCAAGTTAAGGGCTTATTATTATATAAATTTACTTTGGAGTAAAGATGAATAAGTTTCAGTAATTTAGAAAAATAAACCTTTAAAGAACTTTGAAGTTTGGAAATTTTTTTTGAGGAAAAGTGAATGATAGTAGAACTTTTTATTAACATAAATTGAAGAAATGCACAACCAAGTTATCTTATAAAACAAATTGAATTGTCTGTGAAAAGTGTCCAGCTGAAAATTGCATTTTATTACTTGGCTGTTTCCATGTACTGTTCATACTTCATTTAACTTCAGTGAAAAATGTAAAATTCAATTCCTTTTCTCTGTAGTGACGGCCTGAGGCAGATTCAGGATTTGGCAGAGGCGGTGGGGAGAGGGGGATGAGGAGTGCAAAAGCAGCCCCTGGCACTGTGAGGGTGACTGTATCCCTGCTCCCAGTTTCTTCCCACGTACACCCACCAGTGGGGACAGTCCACTCAGAGAGCCTCTGGGGACTTTTTTTAAGTCCCCAAAGCACATAAGAATATCCCCCTTCTTCCTCCATGCTTAGAGGCATGTCCCTTCCTCTCTTCCCCTCCTCCTGCCTACTGTTACTGCTTTTCCCACTGTCTGGGGGTGAGGGAAGTGTCAAAGTTGCTCCAGCTGGACTGCATGGTGGCTGGGCTCATCTGGGAACAGTGACAGTAAGAGCAACAGAGATGGGTGGAGAGGCAGGGGGAATTCCTCCACCCTGACCAGTCCCCCCTGGAGGCAGACGTAGGAATGAGGGGGATTCGTATGCGCTTTGGGGACTTTGATCGAGTGCCAAGCTTCTGCTGGGAGCAAAAGCAGAGGTTCCTGGCTAGAGACCTGCCTCTGCTCAGGGTCAGATTGATTGCCATATTTGGGGTCAGGAAGGAATTTTACCTCATGGTCAGGTTGGTACAGACTAGGGGTGGGGGGCGTATGGCCCTCTACCAGGGATCTTTTAAGCATATATTGACATTTCATAGAAGCAGGATGTTGGCTGCTGTGATTCCCCTGCTGTAGCTGTGGCAGGTTGGGATGTTAGGTCTGTGTTGTCAGGAATGACAGGAGTCTTACATAGAGTTTAGATTATGGTTTGGATAGGAACTATCCTGCCTCAGGCAGGGGTTTGAACTAGATGACCTTTGGGCTAGGGACAGACATTACACACAAACTGGTTTAAGTGTTCAGAAACTGGTTTAAACCTGTAACAGAACAGATGTTCAGTGCACATAAAGCAATTTGAAAATGGCTGAAACCGGTTTGAGTTAAACCTGGTTGAATGTAAGCCTGTCCGGCTGCTAATAAACGAACACTGTTTCATACTGATTCTAGTGTGGTTTGAGTGAGGGCCTGGAAAAACCATGAGTAGTAAGTTGAACAAATTTGACCTGAAAATCAGTCAGCTGTGAAATATGTTCAAGCCTGCAGTAGAGCTTTTGAAGTACTTTTCAGAGCAGAATCTCAGATCAAGGATTTATTGCTATCAAAAAAAGTTTTATACTCTTACTTTTTTCATGAGAGTTCTTTTTTCTGTATGTTTTTCTCAAGTATTTGGAGAACCATTCCACAAAATAATATTGTAGTAGGCTGAATACTGAGCTGTGCCTTTTTCAGCTTGATTGCAGTTGACTGAAGGGAGCTTTTTCTCCCACTTGTTTTGTCAGGATTTTCAATTTAACAGGCATAAACAAAGAAAGTATAAGCAGTTTTAACTAATTAATTGAAAGTTGGGAAAGCACATCAGCTTTCAGTCTCTGATTGCTGTTATCTCAGTAGGTTTCACTCCTACCAGTAGTCAGCTGTATAAATTAGAAACCAGCCAATGTGTTGCTTGTATGTAAAAAATAAATAAATAAATAAAAAAAAGAATAAAAGTAGAAAACTTTTAATAAAAATACCTCACTTCCTTGTTCTTTAATCCGTATGGGAGTGTGTACAAGTCATGACCTTTGGGAAATGTTAAAATACTGTCTCTAATTTGATCCCAGTCTCTTTCCAGATAGATTCAGGTGACATTAAGCATGGAAAAGGAGCCAAGCCAGAATGGGATATCAAACTGAAATATATGCCAGGTGTATTTTCCCATCAGTATTTTTAAATAGTGGCTACTCATATATTGCATAACATATTAAACAATGATTTTCATTAGACATTCTGGTATTAGAACAGATAATTGCATGTTTTGTTCAAATATGTTTTTAAAGATGAATGTCTTGTTTTGATATAACGTAAAAATAGTATAATGAATTAAATAACAATATTGATTATTTACTGTTGTAATCCAGCTAAGAAAATATTCATGAAATGGAACTGTAGATATGCTATAACTTAGTTTTAACTTCATTTTTTACAGCTTCATGCTACATTGATGATTATGGCTCTAACGAAGCTTGTTTTCAAAAGTGGTGGCCACCCTCTCTCCTATAGGCCATTTTACCAGTTTTCTCTTTCTTGTCTGAATTAAACTGGCATAAAATTAACAAACTCTTAAGTTCATACAGACATTGAAACTGCCAAGTTAGATGTGATAACTGGGTAACACCACTACACAGAGTAGACCAGTCAGTGTCTCCTATCATCTACCTGGGAAAGGAGCAAACTACCTTCTCGGTTCTCTCAGGTTGGAAATTCCTAAAATGCCTGCTAGCATATGTAGATAAGACATCAGAACCTTATTGTCACCTGTATCAGACTATCTGTGGCTTTAAAAGTCAGTACAGCTACTGACAGTTTGATCCTGACAGTTCTGGCAGGAAGATTATCAGTGATTAGAATAGTTAATAGAAGATAAACACTAACAAGTGCAGTTTGTCCAATTTCAGCTGGGTTCCCACCTCCTGAGTTGCTACATCTCCTGACACAAGTTTAAGATAGAAACATCAATTTGGCTTGAAATCATCTTTCCAAGAAACTTTTTGTCTTTAGGTAAAAATAAGGCAATGTATTCCTACAACACCAAATAGCAATTCCTTTTGCAGTTTAGGAAAATCATCTCTTTCCAGATACTTCCGCTGCATCTGGGGCGTCCCACCGCCCCTCCCATGGGCCCCATGGGACAGGGAGGCGAGCTTCGCGTAGCCTGTTATGCCCCCAGGCTGTTGGGGCTTGGCAGCACAGGCTGCTTTGCCTTGGGCTTGGAGAAACTTATCTCATCTTAGCTAACCAAAATTTTGGTCAGCCTTTTGCTGAGATATTTAGACTTTTTGTCCTTGTTGCTTTCAGATGTATAAGTTGGCATCTTATCTTGTCAGATACGAGATTTCATGGCCAGAAAGATAACTATGAACCTATCACAGATACTTAGATCCATAAATGAAGGTGATCACAGCTTCTCATTTTTTGATTGAATTGGAGAACTGGAGGTTGACTGTATGTAGTCAGACCATTGCCACCTCCAGTTTGAATTTAGGCCTCCCATTTGTGCCTTCTGGGATTGAGAGCATGTTTCACTATTTTGCCTACAGAGAGTGATTAAGCTGTTGGCTTTCAGAGCACTTATTTTGGCAAATTCTGTTTGTTAAGTAGGACTGCATAGCCACAGGAATCTCTTGTATTTTGTCATGCTTGGTACATCTTATTACCCCTTGCATGTTTTCTGTCTTTATTTGTTATCGTTTAGCTAGGTACATATTTATAGGTAACCCCTTTTCATTTCTTTTTAATATTCTCCTACTTTTACATACCCCAACCAGTCAGCTGTCTTGAGACTCCCTAACTATTCCAGATTTGCTTCAACATGATGATACATTCACAAAATTAGTTCTCTGTAATATTTTCCTTCATTTGTGTCTTTGTCATTCTGTCTGTCAGGCTCGAAAAACCATATTTGCGCTCACTTTTCTGGACTTTTAGTGATAGATTTCAATTAGTTATGGTGTACTCTTGGTATCCAAGCAAAACTTATTTCACTTACTTTAACTTTAACCCATAACACCCTTACCAAGGTGAAGCAGACAATAGACGGCAATTGAATGTAGAGAGAATGGCAAGAGTAAGACAAAGCAAAACAAATGAGCAAAGAGGACATTGTAGAAGAGATGCAATGGAAAGGCAAAGTGTTTGCAGAGAGACTGGATGAAGCAGAGAATAGACAACAATTGCATGCAGAAAGAATGGCAAGAGTAAGACAAAACAAAACATGAGCAAAAAGGACGTTGTAGAAGAGATGCAATAGAAAGGCAAAGGGTTTGCAGAGGCAATAGAAGACAGGCTGAAAGAGTAGACAACAATAGAGTCACTGAAGATGAGATTAAAGAACATTGTTGTGGATTGATGAATGTGGTGTGCCAGTTTTGGAACTCTTTAAACTTCTAAGCTGAAAGACCATCAGATGGTCAGTTCCAGAGTTGTTGTCATAAGGGTAAAGTGATTCTGCCTCCAGGAAGACAGTTTCCAAAGTATTTGCAGGATTTGATGATGAATTGAAACAACAAGCATTACAAGAACTTTAAAACAAACATTTGATTGTACAAGAGTGCATTGCCTGTTGAGCAAAGATCATTGTGATGGGATGTATGATTCATGGACTGTGTGGAGGACTGAATCCAAATGCACTGTGCATGGAAAATCGTCACTGTCTGAAGAAATATCCAAAGGAGTTTAGAGAGGAGACACTTGGAAATGTTGATGGATACCTGATGTATAGAAGACCAGGCAGAACAGCTCAAGTTGGTAATGACACAGTGGATAACAGAAACATGGTACCCCATAACAAGTAGCCTGTTTTTTATGGGCTTTTGCGCTAGTGTTTTAAGAAGAACCTTAACATTGAAAGTGTTTAATAGCGTATAGGTAACATTGTGTGCTTCACCTATTATTCTTAGGTGCCTGTGGTAGTTCGTCTTAAGTGTGAGTGGTGTTTTAGCCAAGAGTCTAGATAATCTCAGAAGAGCAGTCTGAAGAGCACTTGGGATCCAGGTGAATAATGTTAGGTTCCAAGACAGGATTTATTTTTTCAAGCCCCAGTCAGTCAGTTCCCCTGTGAGTTGAGAGGTGACTCGATGTCAGCTCTGGTAAATGGTTAAGCTTCTGACACTATACTCGTAGGCTACCCATGACTGCCGAAAGTCAGCTTGGCACTGGCTGCTGCTCCAGCACTGAAAGCTGGTACAGACCCCTTCATTTGGAGGCAAGGTAGACCAGAACAATAGGCTAGTCATGATCCTTGTTAGTGGTTGTATTCCTCTTGAAAAAGGAAAGCCTGACAGATGCAAAAAGAGTAGCTTGCTTTTGGTCTCTTCCTGGGAATTGAACAGAAAACCCTATTTGTAATATTCAGGCTGGTGATGCAGGATCAGTTTTTGGGCCAAGTAGGACCAGAACAACTTTGGCATCTATATCCATTGTTACTTTTCTGATATCATCACTTCAATATCTACATTTTTTATACCAAGAACAGCACCCTACAAATCAGTACCAGCTTCAGAAGGAAATACTCCTTTCCTTTATCCATCCTTCCAGGAGAGGAATTTCCTCATCTGAAACCTGTTCACTGAAATCAGGATATGGTTTACTAATCTCAGACCAAGATCACTGATCTAAGAGCCTGTGAGTTTACCTGTCACATTCATCATATCAACCTTAACTAATCTTACTAGTCCTTCCCTTTCAATTGTCTGCCATGGCTGTGCTGGAGACACTGGTATTTGCCCTCTAAAACCTCCTTCTCATTCTTTGTGGAAGCAAAGAGCTCCTCTCCAGTGGCAATTGTAGACTCCCATCTGCAACAAGCATCACATCTTCTACACCTGTAGACCCTTGGAGGGATAGAGATCAGAAAGCATCTTGCTTACAAAGACCATTGTCTCCCCAACTTCTCTTAAAAGGCCCCTTACTTGTCACTTAATATTAAATGTGGATACGAGCTGCCTACCGTGGGCTCGGGGCTCTCCACTCTTGCCTTTCCCTTGGGAGCCTCCCACCGGCCATGCACCCTCTGCCTGCCCAGCAACAGAAGGCACAACTCACTGCCCCCGCTGCTGCCAGGCAGGCAGGGGATGCATGGCCTGTGTGGGGCTCCCGAGGGAAAGGCAGCAGAGCTGAGAGCCCTGGGCCTATAGTGAGAAGTCTGTATGTGCTCTGCACACACATCTGGGAGGGATACATGCCCCTCTTCCTCCCGGGGGGTGCACACAGCAGCATGGAACTGCCCCCCCCCCATGCCCTCTGGACGAGCTGCCCATGGCTCTGTCCTGCTCCCAGCTCTAGCCCCAGGTCCCTTTCACAGTCCTGGCTGGGCAGCGCCCTCAGTCCCTTCCCCTGCCCCACTCCCTCCCTCACCATGGGGGCTTTGATCTGCCCCCACTTCCACACCCCTCCTGTCCCCCACGCCCCTTCCCCTCCACAGACTTACCTACAGGGAGCTGTTTTTCATGCTGCCTGGCTGCATTCCTGACCTCGTGCATGCATATGGCTGCACACATGCATACGGCTGTGTGCATGCACGTGGTATCTGGGGGCCCTGGCCAGAAGATGTATTGTATTTATCGGCAACATTATTGGCTACGCTGGCCAAAAAAAAGCCAATAGTCAATAATGTTAATTTTCCTTTTATTGGTGCTGATCTGATATGCAACCAATATATCAGTACACCTCTACTAGATACTTCCATCATGGATTTGTTTGCCGCCAGAGAAAATATACAGTGCCAAATATTCTTATTCCAGGCTAGATATGAAGCTAGAAGCTGCTCAGATGCCTTCTCTTATTAAATCACTGCCTCTTGTATGCATTTCCTTTGCTATTCCATGTAACAAGAAAAATGAGATAGGAGGCATCTCTGCTGATCCTAATAGTGTCATGTTATTCTCATTTACCATATTTACTCAAATATAAGATAAGGTTTTTTCCCCCAGTCAACGTGGTGGGGAAAAGCCGCTCATCTTACATTCATGTATCAGAACCTACCTCCCCACCCCCTTTTAAATACATTGTCTATCATTGAGCTGTTGCTAGAAGTGGGACGTGCACAGTCAGGGAAACCAATTATGGAGTTGACTGAATGCAGCCCATACTGAGCATTCCCATAAAACACATGGCCCATATTGGGTAAAAGCACTGATGGGAACCTTTTTCAAAATTATTTATTTACAAAATATTATTAAAAACACACATCACCTGACACTTACAGAGCTTCACATTTGAGCATCCTTGTTTTACCAAGACTTCATATCTCAAAAACAACTATATATCAGAAACATACAACTACATATATAAAACCTTGAAACAACATATATCAGCTTCCCACAAGAAACCCTTTATGGAACTCTTCTTCTTCATACAGAACCCCATGAAAAACTATTAGCTCAGTAACCACCTGACTTCTCTGCCCCTCCCAATAGTCCTTTCTGTTGGTTCAGTGAAACAAGTGCGTCCAGTCTTTTTTCCTCCACTTCTCTGATTCTTCTTTTCTGTTCTCTGATCTGTCCCAGTTGATGTAGTATTTCAGTTCATGCAGCCCCAGCTTCAAGCACTCTTCTTTCAGTGAAAGCCAGCCGCTTAAAAAACGCAGAGGTTTCTTATGTTCCATAAACTAGTTTTATTTCTTCCAGTCTCTTTGGTGCAAGTCCCTATATTACCATCTCTTTTACTAATAACAGGTTTATTTTGGTGACATTCAAAGTGGCAGACCCTTTCCCCCACCCTCTTTGCATCTGTACACTCCCAAAACAGGTTACAAGGATGGGCGGAGGAGAACAGGATGGGGTTTAACACGGACAAGTGTAAGGTGATGCACCTGGGGAGGAACAATAGGCACCACACATACAGGCTGGGGAACTCCCCTCTTGTCAGCACGGAGGTGGAAAAGGATCTGGGAGTCATTATTGACTCCAAGATGAACATGAGTTGGCAATGTGGGGAGGCGGCTAGGAAGGCCAACTGCACCTTGTCGTGCATCCACAGATGCATCTCGAGCAGGTCCAAGGAGGTGATCCTCCCCCTCTATGCGGCACTGGTCAGGCCGCAGCTGGAGTACTGCGTCCAGTTCTGGGCGCCGCACTTTAAGAGGGATGTGGACAGCATCGAGAGGGTCCAGAGGAGGGCCACTCGTATGATCAAGGGACAGCAGGGTAGGTCCTATGAGGAAAGGTTGCGGGACCTGAACCTGTTCAGCCTTCAAAAGAGAAGGCTGAGGGGGGATCTTGTGGCCTGTTATAAACTGGTTAGGGGGGATCAGCAGGCGCTGGGGGAGTCCCTGTTCCCCCGAGCGCCGCAAGGAGTGACCAGGAACAATGGTCACAAGCTGGCGGAGGGAAGGTTTAAGTTGGACATCAGGAGGCGCTACTTCACGGTCAGGGCGGCTAGGGTCTGGAACCAGCTTCCAAGTGAGGTGGTGCAGGCTCCCACCCTGGGGGTTTTTAAGAGGAGGTTGGATGACCACCTTACTGGGGTCATTTGACCCCAGTGCTCTTCCTGCCATGGCAGGGGGTCGGACTAGATGATCTGCTCAGGTCCCTTCCGACCCTAGAAACTATGAAACTATGAAAACACATCCCACTGTTTCTTCCTCCCCACTTTCTCTCCCTTGGGCACCTTGATGAGCTCATCAAGTTTCATCTGTGTTGCACCTCTCACTGGTGAGATATTTCTTACAACCATCCATGCTAGGTCAGCATGTTCCCCTTTTAGTTGTTTACCTGTCACTGCTCCCCACACCTTCATTTGTCCTTCTGTGGAGATTCCTACCAGCACCATCCTGTCTCTCTGCCTTACTGGTTTCATTAATTTCTTATGACCCTTCAGGACCTCCAGGCCTACCTTCCCTATTTTATACCTCTGCATGAAACCTTCCAATCTGGTGTAATGAAGTGGCAGTTGCTACACCTGTGGGCTCTTTATAGAGGTCAGATATACTCCCCATCTTCTCAAAATTGCAGCTGTGTGAAATCAGGTGATAGGCACTGCTTTCCCCTCTCTCCATTACTGCCTTGCCTACCGTGCTTATATATTATATAGACAAACAATTCCAAGTTTGGCAGCCCCCACTCCCCATCTCTTTTGTTTGTACAGTTCATCTTTAGCCAACCTTTTTCTTTTCTGTTAGATAAAAGCACCAAAAAGCCCCACTAAAGCACCCAGCCTACACAGATGTTGTGAAAGCTGGGTCCAATTAATGTGATGCCTCTTCTGGGCATGCACTGGGCTTGGCGTAGGAGCATGCTGAGTTTAAAATAAAATGCTGCTTTGGGGGGGCGCAGGGTTCCATGTCTGCAAACAGCCTAAATTTGGAAATTCTAGTACCTGATCTAAAGCCTGTATGGATGGTGTTAACTTGCATGGGCTTTAGATTTAGACCCACATCAAAAAGAACAGCCTTATATAATAATTTTTGCGATTCTAGTTGATTGATTTGTTCAGATAAAAATTCTTCTCACTAAAAATAGAAATAGATATATGTTAATGTGATTCCATTTAAAATCACACTTATGATTATTTTCTGTGATGTCATAATGTCTGCCCATACAATTTATAAATAAAAATATTAAAAATTTGGTTGTTCTGTGTATTTTAATCCCTCTTCCTCCTTCTGTCCAACAGGTGAGCAACCTGAAGAAAATTTTAAAAGGAATACTGGATTACAATCATGAGGTAAGAGGTACTTTAAGTACTCCATGCTGGCTTCTGTCTTGCTGAATATTTTTAATATGCTTTTTTAATGTTTAATACATCATAATGATTCCTTTACCATTAGGTCCTGGTTTCTAAAGTTTTCAGCATCCAGCAAACCCTCCTTCTGCTGGATGTGTAGCACTTGTTTAAAAATCTGACCAGTTCATTTAGAGTACCTACCTTGGAAGTGAGTTCTTTCAGAAATCCGATTCATGCATGAGGAAATGAAATTTGAAAAAAGAACAAGCAGCCATTCTGTACCTTTATCCACTCTTCCATACACTCCAGTGCTGTCCTGCCAAAATAAATGGGTTGTGCTCAGGTGCTGGCCCTCTTTGAGAGCATATCTATACTGCTTCTGCATCAGTCCTGAGAGTGACTCCGAGAAGCCTACCTATCCAGCCAATTTTTGCTCTGCATGCGCCAAGCCCAGAAATGAGGCATCTTGAGAGCAGGGGTTGCCTTGAGGTTGGCTTCATTGCCTCATGCTGGGTCTAGCGTGTATGAAATGGTATGGGTGAGTGTTGCTTATTTCCTGGGAGGACTGCAGAAGCGTTATAGACAGCCCTCCTTCCCCCCAAAGATTTATTGCCATTCTGTCAGACTTTCTCCTTTGTTGCCTATAAACCCTGGCTCTTTCATTTTTTTTAATTTTTATTGTGTGGAATCCTTCATCATCTCCCTCAGTAGATGGTTAGATTAAAAGTATTAATTCTGAGCTGTCAGATATCACTAGTGTGGCATTTGTGTCCTGAAAAGAGACTTGTGCAGTCCTGGAGGCAGGCAGCCCCTATGAGAGAGACCAAAAGATCATTTTCAGCGAGGGATCCTCAGCGCTGGACTTTACTCCCTGTTATGTCCAAGGAGGATGGTTGGTGCATGAAGAATTCAGAGGTTTTCTCTCTCTTGAAACAGTTCACATCCATACTTTCTCAAGAATGTTAGCTGCAGATAAATATTATGGAAAGGAAGATAGTAATGAATGGCACATATGGGGGAAAAGGACCAAGATTTTTAGCAGTGGATACCTCAAGTTACATTCTTAAATCCATACTTAATAGGGCTCTGGTCTCTCAAAAGGGCTGAATATCCACACTGAAGTCAAGAGGGTGGGAACTGTGAACTAGTGTTAATTCAGACATCAGGTCCTCTTAGCTGCTCATAATAAACCTAGCAGGAGGGCGTCTGTTCATTTTATTGTGAAATTTCTGTGATCTAGTTTGTAAAGGGCCACGTAGATCCTTTTACGAGCTGTGTATGCAAACCAACTACTCTTCCTCTTGTTTTAAGCTTTAAAGTGTTTTTTTTGTAGTTGATTTGGCATGTATTTCTGTCAGGCCATGTTGGAGGTGGGGGAAAAAAAAGAATGGTTTCTCAGCCTCTGGATTCATGAGGCTTGATGTATTATAATAAATACCTTGCATTGTGGAGCATGGATTTTCAGCTGAATCTGGCCTGTAGCTTAGTAGTGCAAATAGGGGCAGGTGATGGGTGTGCCCCAGGTCCCCTCTGCCTCTGTCTCTCAGCCACCCTACTCCAGTTTTCCACAGCACTGCCTGCTGCTACTCCAGCCCTCCTTATTCTCCTTTTCATATCCCCTTACTGCAACTGTTGAATTTATTGCTTGCAGCTGTTGATGGCTGTGGGAATGGTAAGTGTTGGCTGTGGCAGAAGCTGCAGTAGGGTGGAGGCAGGCAAGAGAGCATCCTTCTGCACAGCAGAGAAGGTGGGGGCAGCAGCAGACAGGTCACAAGCAGTGGCCCCTGCCTTTGGACCTGGCTTGCTTTGTTTTGGGCTGCTTATGGTAGCTTTTTGAAATCTTTGATATGAAAAGTTTGTTGTCTTCTATTTGCAATTTGATCTCGACGAGTAAGTGAGCTTCATGCTCTAGCTGTCGATTCACTAGATAACAACAATAACAAATTCCTCGAAGACTGGATGAATTGGGGGCTGTGACTGAGATTTCTTCCAGAGCTGGTGGTGGTGGAGATCCACTCAAGTCCATCGCTTGTCCCATCTGTTTTTTCTCATTTCTTAGCTGGGGGAAGAGGACTGTGGTGGTGGGGGGAGAGGGGGAATCTTTTTGACAGGCACGCCAGGTGTTAGCCTTGCACCTTCCTCAGCTGCCACTCTGACCCCCTCTTTCCATGCCTGATCTGCTCTGCTTTCTGAATCCTTCCCTGTGCTCTCTGCCCCCTCCCTGAGCTGCACCGTGCCATATACTGAGGTTACCTGTACTGCAGGTTGGCCATCCCTGTCTTAGCCCTTCCTGGCAAAGTCCTTCTGCACAAACTAGATGTTAAAATACTAGAATTCTCATGTGGTGTAGGCAAAAGCCCTTGGAAAATAAAGCTACTTTAGCTATAAAAATTAAATCAATTTGATAACTTGTCCTTATGTGTAAGGGGACAATCTCTAAGATGCTGCTTGGCAGCTATTTCTAGTATTACCACCCGGTTGAGGTATAAGCTGGAGCTCAGAGTCCCTGTTTGTTTCATGACATCAGTAAAATTCAGTTTTAGAATTTAAGCTTTCATTATTTTTTGTTATGCCTTTGTAGAAATAACGTCACTGTCCAAAACAACATGGTCATAGTTTCCTAAAGCTACAAATGACGCATCCTCTTTGACATCAGTTCAGTATTGGTTCTAGAGCCTAAAGTTCATACAGTTAATTATTTTACTTTTATTACTTTATCAGATGGATCTACCAATCTTGTTTACTTCACAATCCGAGAGCACCTCCTGTATCTTTATTGTGTTGCACTGGATACTTCAACGCTCCAGCTTCCTCCAACAGCTTTTATGAAACAATATTGTCAATATGACAACCTGCATTACATGTAAAAATTGGGAACGCTATAAGGCAAAATGGAATTGGCTATAAAACCAAGCTGTTCAAGGAATATCCTACTGATTATATTGCTCATTTTTATATTTAACAGTAACATTCATTTTTTAGTTTACGATTTTACCTCACCAGCATGACAGAAAAAGCAAGGAACATTTTGAAAAAATCTGAGTGGTTTGCTACAGTTCTCCTTTGGGCAGCAAATTTCTAATGTATCGTTTTTAACAGAATATCCAAGCATCTTTTATATACTGTCACTAAATATTTGTGTATAAATATTTTCTTCAAAGCTGTTTCTCAGGCTCTTTGTATTTACAAAAAAGGGCACTCTGCACACAAATTACAGATTTCTTTAAAAGTGACTCTGCTGCTGCATTTTCATTTTTGCCTGCTTAATGAAATTTTTTTCCTATCTGCAGAAATGTTTTTAATTCCATGTCTTGTAGATTCATAGATTGTAAGGCCAGAAGGGACCTTGGAAGATCATCAGGTCCAGCCCCCTGCACCAAGCAGAAAA